CCACAGTCAGCACAAACACAGGTAGTGATACATCCCATCTGTCAATATACAAAAGCATTCAGCTCTGCATCCTTCCAACCTCTAATCAAAGTGCATTCAGTCAAACAACCCTACCAGACTCTACAGTGAAAAGGGAGGGGGAAAGAATAAAAAAAGACTTTGTTGAGCGAAAGTACCGAGACACATTTGATGTAATAGTCATATGATTAAAAAACTGTCATATCAAAGTTTTCTGCAAAGTAGGAACACTCTGACAGTTCATATTTTAAAAACTGACATTTTGATTCATTACTGTAAATAGCACTCTGTATTAAATATTGTGACAAGGCATACAGTGTATTTTTTGAGCTCTATAACATTTAGGAAGTACTGGGGTTTTTTTTATTTTTTTTTTAAAGCATGTATAATATCAAAAGCAGCTAAAGCAGAACTCCAAGAAAGCTTCTAGAGGAGAGAATCATTATTTCTGAAATAACCTACTTCCCTGCCATCATCTCAAGCACTGCTGGGAACTTAGGCCCACAAGGATCTTAATGTACTGTTTGCATAATAAAATAGGGAACTGTCTCATGGAACAAAAGAGCTATAAGGAAAGTGGCTACATTAAATAATGTAAAATTACTCACTACCAAATCATCCTGAGTTGGCATAAGAGGAAGAACACTAAAAGGTGCTGAATTACCACTCAGAGTATCTGAGAGTCCAGGTTCATAACCAAGATAAACAATGCGACGTCCAAATGACTGCCCAAATGTACATCTTGCTTATCTCTTCAGTCTTTAGCCACGTGTTTTGCCCCCTCCGCTGCCTCACAACTCATGCTTATGTCTATAAAGGATAAAATTGACTTTATGGCCAAAACAAGGGTTGGGTACACACAGGCAGCGGGACCACCTCTTCTAGCAATGGTACAAACTCTGACTGATTGAACCCGCTCATGAAATCATTCCTGAGTTCAGTTGTTGCCTGTCTTTCCTGACACTCGGAGACCGTAACATCTTTCTCAGCACAGCTCTGTTTTGTCTATTTAGACCATGAGCTCTTATTGACAGGAGGTAATGTGCATGTCTGTGCAACGAGACCTTAGCCAGTCCCCTAAGACCTTCCAAACCTAAACATGGGCAGAGAGCTGCTACAAACCCCTGCAACCCACCACAGCCGTGCCCATTGCAGGCAGAGATAGGGCAGGCAGCACTCCCTCACCGCGAGGGCAACCAGTAAGGGATGTCTAGATGGAGTTGTCAAAGACTTCTTCTTGCACAGGTGTCCACAGCAGCGCAACTCAAACTGTAGGGATGCTGACAGCCACCAAAACAGACGTACCAACCAAGGCCACTTAATCCCCTTACCATTCCCAAGCTCTTACCAGCTTGTGGATCCCTTTCTCTGGATCACCAGTATCAAAGCAAACAGGACTACGCCCATAAGTAGTAATGAAAATGTTTTGCATCTTCTCAAAAGCAGCCGCAAAACAGAGAAATTAAATATAATAGCTCCAGCTGACACAAAAAAAAAACCTTGACGGAGCAGCAGAGGTAAAACAGAGGCTGCCTAGCCTGTTTTCAAGATGCTCAGGTGTTATTAGGACTTCAGTCCAGGGCTTTAGAAAGAAAAATGGTTACCATTATCATTATTTGCAGTCAGCTGCAAGTGAAGCTCTGGGCTCAGTCTACTGAAAGAATGGATATGCTGCCATAAACACAAGCCTGGAGCCTAGTCCGGGACATGGCGAAGCAGTCACACACAACAAAGATGGATCACAACACTGTTTTAACAGGGGTCTGATCCAGCACAGCCAGCAGTTCCCCAGAAGCAGCTACACACCACTCACATGCTGGAAATCTTGTGGATGTGTCTGCATGCCAGCAAGTGTGGCAGTAGTAGTGGTCTAGCCAGACACCCAAAACATATTGGCACCACTATAATCTGTCCATTCACCAATATGTTTTCCTAAAAACACCCATATGCTTTTCCTGCAGTTCCCATATGCTTTTGCAAAGAGAAACAAAAACATTTTGTTAGTTGTGAGCAATTGATCGCCACATATTTCACAGAAGTCAAGTAGAAGAACAACAACAAAAAAAGCAGTCAGCTGCTTCCCCCTCCCTTTCCTCTCTGTTCATGGAGGGAGCTGTGAAGAGCAGGAAAAAAATTCAGCCCACAGCAAAATACACACAGAGCTCATTTTTTGCACTGAAAGATATTCTAGGAATTACAGGAGGAATCTTCATTAAAAACAGGCTATCAAAGAGCTGGCAGCCACTGGCATACCAGACAGTAATTCAGTGTTGGGTGTTTAACTCTGTGCTCAGCACTAGCTCGAGTCCTCACCATGGGTAGGGCAGCCCACAGGAATTCGGGCTCCTGGAGGAGCACGTTAAACAAGCCTGCGGTGGGGCGGACAGTGTAATAAAGAGGTTACAGCATTTCCGATTCACAAGACAGCTCACTTGATGCCATATCTATCTATGCTTGGAGTTATAAAGCCCCCACTCGTGTATAGGGCTTCCCAGGAAGATACTACCTTGCTAATGCAAATCCCAAAGCAGTGAGCATGCAAGGGGAGCAGGCAGGCTGCTCAGTTCAATGGAGCAGGCACGTGGGTGTACAAGTATGCATGTGTCAAGGCTGGAGCATGTAGGAACCATAGCTGTTCAGTTAGAGACTCATTAAGAAATGCGACAGACCCGAGGCCAGCGTTCAAAGAGGAGAAGTGTAAAATATTTCTCTGGAGAAAGATTTGTCCATGTTCTTCTTTCCACAAATAAAATTAAAGAGGGAATCATAATATAGACGAATCAATTAACTTTTGAAAAGCCAAGGGCACTGCATGCAAGAACAGTTGAGAGGGGCAGAGCTTTGTTACAGGACACTTGAAACTGTGTGTAGCCTTTCTTCTGTGGAAAAGATATTCAGCTACTGCTACGTGAAGTTCTGATATCAGCCCTGTCTTCATCATGCTCACTGTTACGGGCACACAGTTGCTTCCTTCCCAAAATGGTCATACATGTACCTGCATATTGCTATAACCCTATGCATGAAGGACTTGGGGTCATCTTTGTGAAGACTACCAAAAATACACTGAGGGCATATGCCAAGGACTACTGCAGTGCTTGACTTGGAAGGTACAGCCTTAAGGTAGGTGTTTGAGGCTGACTGTCTATGTCAGAACAGCATGCGTCCTACTACCAGAACAGCATGTGCCCTACTACCAGAATATAGATTTTCTCTGTTCCACTGTTCTTCCACAAATTTAATGTGGAATTTAAATTTTGTAAAGTTAGTGTTCTGTTACAGTGATCTAATCTCACACAAGTGTAATGAGAGGCCAGATGTAACAGGTCTAGAGGCCAGTTTTCCACAGAAACAAAGCTGAGAACTCAGTCAAGAGACGAGAAATCAACCTCTTGCACAGGACCCTGAGTATGAAACAATTTGTCAGAGACAGCTTGCTTGAGAAGATAACATTTTATGACACATTTTTGTCCTGAGAAGAGTTGTAAGCACCTGAACGTCTGACTTCACAACTCACAAATATATTGATGTTATTGCTTAAGTTTTGAATAGAACGCAAAATTAACACTGTCCCACCTAGTTAACAGTCTGTAAGGATGGGCTCCTTCCTAGATTTCATATTTACAGCAACCCACTGAAACAGTTTATTAGACTTAGCCAGAAAAGCTGCTGCAGAAAGAGTGAGACTAACAGAAAAGCTGCTATTAATCTTCCATAACCCAGCAACTGGGAAGACCAGGCCTTGAACCAAATTGTCCCCTCTCGCTATTAATCTCCTGTCCTCTGTTCATTAATCCCTTGTCTGTCTTTGTCCTTCAACATTTATTAATGTTCCCACCTGTTTGCAGTGAACAGTGGGCTGAAACCTCATCTAGCCATATACTACACATTAAAAAAAAACAACAAAACACACCAACAACCAAAAAAAAAAAAAAAAACAAACCCCAAACAACTAAAGCAAAACACACCCACCCCACCCCCCCACTCCCCCCCAAAAAATTATAAACTTATGTGGCCTCCAGCACTTGTACCACACATGGCCTTCTGGTGCTGCCACTTGGTGCAAGGAACCATCACCACAGCAAAGACTTCCCAGATCCACCACACCCTACCAAAGCACATCTCCTACAGACCGTCATCACAGCCACTGAGCTGTTCTAAACCAGCTACCAGCAATCCCTGTTCATTTGTTCTACACTTCCCAACAAGCTCACTGCTTTCTTCCCCCAGTTGACTTTGTAGCATCTCTTTTGCCTCCTGGGATGGCACACCTGAGAGAGGCTTGACGACAAACATACTGCTCTGACACTGCTCCCTTTTTGCAGCCTCACCCTTTCTGCAACTGAATCATCCTATCATGGGATAGGCACAAAGCACAATGCATGTCATAAACATAATATGGCAAGGGACTCCTACAAGAGTTTGGGGTAGTTTATCAGGATGATCCTTACAGTCACAGTTAAATATCTCCAAGTGAATTTGATGGAACTGGCAATTCTAAAGAATGAATTAATTTGCTCCTCGCATAATTTGCTATTCAGGTTATTCTTAATAGGCTTATATCCTTTCTTGCTTTTGTCCACTGAAGCATGGTTAGATTAAAGCTTGTAATACAGCCAACTCTCCATCACCAGCTGGGAGCATATCCAGGATGCAGAGCATCCATGGATGCAATGTGAATTCAGGTCCACAAGTAGGAAAGTCTCATTCAAAAAGTAGTCAAAATAATACAGTTCACAGGACCATGCAATCATTCCCATGCAACATGCCCATTCCCAAGAGGGCCTGCATGTTTGCTGCTTCCAGACCTGGACCCAGAAATAGTAAAATCACCTCAAGCCTCCTGTTTAGGCTGGCCTCCCACCACCCTGAGCTTTGGTGAAATGACTATCACTTGCTGAATGACCGAACACGGTCTCAGGATCTTTCCACTCCCTCTACATTCAGCAGTTGGCAAAAGCCCCATGACCTGATCCATTCCGCACCTGGAAGCAAGGTGGCCTTGTCAGGCACTCAGGCAGAAGTACGACAAGCTTTTCCAAGGGACCTCTGTGGGTGCAAACAGAAAGATCAGAATCAATGTTTTGTTCATTGTAAAAGCAGAAAGTGAATCAAGCTGGCTGTAACACCTCACCAAGAAAAGAGCCCCAAAATGGCCCTTAATGCCAGTTACCCTCCTGTATAGAGCAGAGCATAGCTTTTTTCCCCCCTCTGATACAACCCATGTGTCAGTCTGTCCCTTTTTTGACCCATGTAAGTGTTTTTCACTCATTTGCAGTTTATATCAGAACAAGCAGAGAAACTGAAGTTTATTTGGGAGAGAAGCTACTTGTTTCAAATCACTGTAGAGCTTGTGAAAGGTTCTGACCTAAGGGCTGCAGGTAACAAAGTCTCTTTCAAAGCCTGACCAAACACCCTTTCTGCTTCTCATGCTTAAAGGGCCTCTAAGAAGAGGCCTCCTCCACTGCTCAGGCCAATGGTGAGTCATGCCCACAGTGCTGGCTTTGCCACACGAGCACCAAGAAAAACTGAAGCTGAGAAGGGATGCATTAAACATGCAGCAACTGTGGAAAAAGCAGTAGGGTAAGACAGCTTCAGCCCTTGCTTCCTTTTGGGTGCCTCCAAGGATGCCCAGCTAAAAACAAAAACACATTTTTCTGTTACCACATGCTGCTTTCAACCAGCAGCCTTTCTTACTTCCAGCTTATTGATATCTAGCCTACCCTGGTGTTATCTGTTTCCCTTCATCTCAGTCCTGAAGAAGAAATAAACAAGCTTAAAAAATACTAGCAATAATTAGTGGAAAGTCCAGTTCACCCCCACCTGCTCCAGTTCTTCCAGCCCACCATGTTTCTGGCTATCCCAGGCCCACAAGCTCCTCCTAACTGCACATGCAACCGTATTTTCCTAAAGTCTAATTATCTCTTAACAAGCATGGCTCAGATTAGCCAAGGAGTTAAACATCACTGAAGAGGAGGAGAAACATATCTAGCCAGTCACATACATCAGTTTTTAAGGAAACCAGGCTGAAACCGACTAGCCCAACCATCAACAGTCTTTGCTCAGGAGAACCGGGTCTGGCAGGGCAGCATCTTCACCCTCCCGGTCCACAGCGGAGGAAGGGGAGCAGAGAGAACTGCAGCAGTTGCTTCAGATCCGCACCAAAGCCCAAGAAGCACAGAGAAATTTGTTGAGGACCTGCCCACACACACTGGGTATTCCTTTCATATCTGCCGTGACAAAAAAGTCACGTTAACATTTTTGCAAGCACTGGAAGCCGTTATCAAGTAACAGCAAAAAGGCAGACAGGTGTCCTGACCAGAGGAGACAGCATATGCTAACAGTTTGGAATTTATTATTATTGTTAATTTTTAAAGGGGAAACAAATCCCAGAGATTTTTTGTGTGCATGATACATTTTCTGCTCCCTGTTTGATGTTGCTTTCAGACTTAAGACTTCAAATAGCTAACACTAACCTCAAGCCTGGTTTAAACTAATGCCCCTTATGTGACCAGGAATGAATGCATGGTGAATCACTTATGCCACACACAGTGGGGGTGATGAGCGGTGGCCCATGTCTCCCAGTTGCTGTGTGAACACAAGTACACTGGGGGAAAGGAGATTCCAGCTCTCTCTGCATCACAGCCTGATAATTCTGGAAAGCACAATCTTCAGGCCAACAGCCCAGCCACAAGCAGTCAGAGAGGACAATGTAGCTACTGGCATCTTTTGCAAAATATGTGTGTGTGTATATATATATATATATATATATATATATATAATCTGCATAGGCTGCACTTCCATCCTCTCTGCCTGCCTTTGGGAGATGCTTAAGAGAAGCTGCATTTTAATTACTAGCCCAAATCGAGGGAATCTGATTTTGACAGCAAGTGAAAGAGAGCAACTCAAAGTTACAGACTACAGGGTATGTGGGTCCCTGGTCTTCACTATTTTGCTAACATTACTGCTTCCAGAAATTAAGTCAAAACCCCACTTAACTTCAGAGAGGTTGTAATTTGCATCTAAAGTGCTGCCTAAGCCTCAGTTATAATAAACAGATACAGCTCCACTGAAATCAAAAGCATTATTCTGATTTTGTCTGGTTACAGATCTACAGACCCATAAACATTACAGCTCATCCAACCTCCAGCTAAATATCTTCTAATACAAGACCATTATCTTTGTCAGATTGATTGGGATAACTTGTTTAAAGTACTCTTGAAGACTCATTAGCATCATTGGGTTTTGGTGGTTGTATTTTAAGAATAAATCCCAGTAGCTATTAAACACTTGAAAAAGACATGTTAACAATTTACAAACAAAGCTCAAGTAGAGATATAACTATGGTTTTCAATTTTCATTTTGAAATTGGTAAAATAGAAGGAGCAAAGAAAACAGAAAAATGAAACTGAGCTCTGCACACACACTGAAAAATCACCCACATTATTTGACAGATAATGAATTAAAAAGAAATACAGAGATAAGGGAAGCAAAATCATGCTAGAAAAAAACAATCCTCCCCTCTTTTTGAGCCTTACTAAATTATATTTCAGGTACAGCAGATAGACAAGATGACTTCAGGAAATACACTTCATCAGACATCACTTGCCAAAACAGCTGATGTCAGGTAGGGCTCCTCTCCCTTGAGCCTTCCTCACTCTCCTGTAATAGAGCATCCCAGAGACAAGTTTGTGCTGACTATGCTCCCCAGCAGCAGAGCAATGCTATTGACTAGTTTTACAGCTTGCTACCCAGGGATGGATGCTACTGACCATCACAACATCCATACCACAGAATCATGGCTGTCATCTTTAAACTATCTCACCAAATGAAGTGGTTCCCTTAGGCAAATAGCAGATGGGGAGGCCTTTTGCTATAACCAAGCTCCTGTTCAGATTGTTGTGTTGCCACAGCTTTGTTGATAAAAGAGAATCTTGGTTTATTTGTTTTTTTCACAGCTGTCCTGCCCAAATCATACTGCCAAGCATCAATTATAAGTCAAACCTTGGACAAGGAATGGTGGAAGAGCTGCTTGACATTTTGCAGAAAATCCACAAGCATCCCAGGGCCTGCCACGGGGTTCAGGTGCTGATTAGGAAGGGCCACTAACACCCCTCCACAAAGAAGGCTTTTTTAGCAGCTCCTCAACCTGTGAGCCTTCCAAAGGGGCTGCCCCGACCAGCATCACAACCTTGGTCAGGCAGATGGAGGAATGGTAGTGAACTGTTCTGTTTCCTCGCCTGATTTCCATTTCATTCATTGGTCACTCAAGCCAGGGAAATACTCCAAGATCCTTGTGCTTGGGTGTCTCTTGCTTCAGAAGCAACTTTGCAAGCCATCGCATTAAGCAAGGGGCTAGCACTGACAGATCCTCTGCTAGGAGCATAATGAAGGCACTGTGGTGCCAGCCTGTATCTCTTAGCCTTCAGGCTGTAGGATTGCAGTAGATGGGAGCAATACATCCCAGCTGTTCCTTAGGGCTGGCACATCACTACACTTAGAGGTATGGCTGGGATACCACAAAGGTGCCTACACTGACCACAGCTCTCTGCTGGCTCAAAAGGAAAAGGGCAGAGAGCAGCACAGCCACACAACACATACCAACCATCACTGTGGGTGATGGGGGACAGGGACATTTACAGCTCCCACAAGATGCACTCTATTTTAATTCACTTCTGCTCTTCCAGCCCTGGATGCAACCCTAAAAATCCAAACTAGCCCACATGTTGCTATCCCAGCTCAATGAGGAGAGGATGAGCTCAATTCTTCCAGTCAAATGGGAGGGGACAAAAGAAACAGTAGTAGTGGTGGTAGTAGTTTTTTGTTAGTAGTAGTAGTATTTTTGTTAAAATCCAACAAAAATGTCCCCAGGAAATCAAAGGCAAAACAGGGGAAGGGATACAGAGAAGAAGTCTCTGTTACTGCTTCAGTGGAAGAGAGATATTGCTAGTTGCAGCCAAAGGTAACTCAGGTGCAGGAAGAAAGATGTCACAGTCTACCAGTGTCATGCTCCATGGTACTGTCTTCCCATACCAAAGCACTACAGAACTGCGAGAGCAGCTCATCTAGGAGAGGATGCTCAGACACACTGCTCACTGCTCCCCAGCACCAGAGGTGGATCTGCAGGAACAGCAGATGTGAGACAATGATCACACACATTCCTCTCACACTGCGAATCAGCAGCCAAACCACAAGCACCCAGGTGTACAGGGCACCATAAGTACCCAGAGGTACAGGACTCTTGGTGCCCAGGTATGCAGGGGCTACCAGGCCTTCACCCAAGCCCCTGCCATGCAAAGTATCTCCAATAAACAGGGGGCAGGTTTGCTCCCTACCTGACAAGGGCCTTCTTTCCACCAGCTGAGTCTTCCCACTGCTATGTAGGAGCTTCCCAAAGAGACCAAAGCAAAAGTCAGGCACAGCTCAAATAAGCACCTGGATCTACAAAAAAACAGATTAAATTCTCAAGCTACAAAACTATGTTTTAGCAAAAGTGCAATTGAACTTCATGTACTTGTTACATTTCTAAATATACTCTGGTTGTCAAGACAACAAAGAGACTGATAGATCTCTAAAGTGTACTGTATCTATTTAATTGTCAGCATTTCAAACCGACTCGAGGAGGGAAAAAAATGCCGTGTGGTAAGTCTAATCGTCATGGTTACCACTGGCTAACCCCATAATAAAAAAATATATATATATTCTAGCTAAATGTGCCAAGCCATGTGATGAGCAGATGGGAGACATTCTCATTACTGCGACAGCCTCCACGGGAAAACTAAACTTGAGGAAGGACGCGAGAGACTTTACAGAGATCTCAGACACAACAGACATCGTGGGCTGCATCATCCCAGTCATTTGGCAGCAGCCGCTCAGGCTTTTCCACAGTGCTCATTCGCCCTATGTGTGCTGGGACAACCCATGGGGCTGGAGCTTCCTAACTTGCAAGTATTCCTGTTTGGGGATCTCACCCCTCACCCAAAATAGCCTGAGATGTGAGTTGTTATTCCTTAAAAGCCTCTGACGGAATCTAATGTGTAACCATCTTGGATTTGCACTCCCACTCTAGCTCACTGGTTCTCCTCCCTCTAGGCAGCCCATGGGCATTGCTTCAGCAGGAGGATGCTATGGCCTGGCCCTTCTGCTCTCATATTGTTAAGAGCTACAGCAAGGGCTATGTCCAGCCTCGGAGAACAGAAACAAGTGGAAAGAAACAGCCAGCCACTTCTGCAAATATACCAGCCTAAGGCTGAAATGGGAAACACCATGCACCCCCAGCCAGCCTCTGCACCTTGTTTGACAAGTGACATGAAGAGCTCTGCTATTCATATGAGGTCCCTCCCGAAAGAGACGCTTTCCAAAAAAAAGCCAAAACATTGGCTTTTTACATAGAAGACGTCCACAACAATATCTGAGATACCTATCTCTGTATAAAACAATTGTGGCTCTCCTTCACTGACCAGAACTCATCCACCTATGCTCAGTTCTCACTTCTCTTTCATTAAACCAAAATTTAAGTTGCAGGAGAAAGCCACAAGTTTCCTCCAGGTATGAAAAAGCAGTGGAAGACAACTCATGTTCACCTGGTGAGCACTGATGTCAATAAATGGTCAAGTTTCCAATTAGTCTGAAGCTTCCCAATGTTTCTGACAGAAACCAAATCAAAGTCAAATCACCCTTAGAAATCTCCCTGGAGCTGTTTCACTCCTTCATAAAGATAAAAGCTTTCTCTTTCTGCTGTCATATGCTTTCATGGAAACCATAAGGCATTGCCTAAGACCATCTCCACGAGAGCCACAAAGTAAAATTCGATCTGGTTGGAAAACACTACTTAAGAGAAACACCACCTTCCAGGCACCTCAAGCAACACGTTTGAGTTCATGATATTTTCCCTGGAGCTTGCCCCTGCTTATCACCAAGATGAACAATTTCTGAATTCCAAATATGAGATTCTCAGTGATGTAAAAAGAGCTTTCATGCCTACCAACACAGTCACTGTGTGGTCCACCCTTGCATACTGCTTCACAGAACGGTCTGTGCATGGAGATAGGGAGCAAACACCAAAACAGAAGTAGCATACAAGTGTTATTTTTGGTATTTGTGTGACAATTATTTCAGATACTGCTATGGTCAGGAGCTAAAACGGAGTCTTGGGCACAAAGAAGCCTATGTCTCAAAGTCAAAGGGACTTAAAGACAACTGTTTTTTTTTACAAGTATTTGGGTACACCCAAAGTGAAGCATCATCAACATTTTGTCCCTAGATACCTAATTAATTTTAAAACTAAGCATTACCCATGAGGAACTTTAAAAAGATTACACCCCTTCTGAAAGCTGTATCCAGAACTTAACTGAGCTGAAATCCCAAACAAGTGAAAGCTTAAAATCAGGCTCCAAAGTGTGTATTTCAACATCATACAGGTACAGGAACCTAACTTTGGTTTTCCTGTTACTGAAAGTGCTCGCCTAGGGCACCAGGCTCTTACAGTTATGGCTGTGGGACAACTATTACATTTTGTTCTAATAAAGCACGTGCTCTCTGAAGCAAACTCCCCAGGATGACTCCATTGCTTTGGCACAAACGGACTCATTTGGTTGAGATAAAAGGATGCTCCCTTGCATCATTATTATTTGATTTTTTTTTTTTGTAAGATAGAGAAACAGTTAATTTTGCTAAATGAATGTTCTGTTGCCATGACTTCACTGCAGACAAACACAAAGCCATCAAGCTCCTTTTCCTTGGGGATTGTTGCTTTTTTTTAAACAGGTATTTGCTCGTCTTGATTGTCTTGCTTCTTTTCCCAGCATCTGCATTTCCAGCATTATCCCACAGTCAGACAGATACGTAATAGCTATAGCTACTCTCTAAATTAGAGAGATATTTCTGTGCATATTCATCCCCTCATTATCTACCTCTGCCAGCTATGCCAATGCACCTTCTGTGACTCCAATACACAGGACAGTTCTACTTGCAACAGAAGCAAATCAGCAAATCTCTCCAAAGGAAACCCTAAATTCATGGAATTAGTCCCTGAAAGTCAGAATTCCCATGCTCCTGCCAAGAACGAAAGGACTTCTCCATCCTGCCCACTGTGAAACCAGGCTGTTGCCCAGGAATTTGCCCTAGTATAGAGCCAGAAACATAAATTAAAAGCCTTTCCATTGCCTCAGTTTCTCAGGCAGATGAAGAAGGCTGTGCATACATGTTGTCTGCCTCCGTGGGGTGTTGCAACATTGGCCAAGCTAATATTCATGAAGCAAACTGGAGATTAAGAGTGTTATAGACTTTACGGGGGGGGGGGGCTTTTTTCTTTTTTAATATTTGCATTGAATAAGTAGAAACATCATTTGTACCCTGCAGCCATTATATCCTAGTAAATGGCTTATTACAGCATGCAGCCTACCAGCTCACCTCCATCCTGTCTCACTTAAATGCATGTAGGTGGAAGTGCTGCTCATTCCAGAGAACTTTATTTTTCACTGTCTGATGGAGGCTCTTGATAGCTGGGCTCACAAGACAGGGCTTAGGATATAAATACTTCAGCATGAGCTTGTTGTTTGGTACCTATTTATGACAATCATAGAACAATTAATTACTTCCCGTCTACAACTAATTCCTGTCTCTTCCAAAAAGACATAAGAGAGGGTGAGTTTCATCTCAAGACTTTCGATTTCCTGATGAGTCACAGCAGACCCACTACAACAAGCTTAATACTTCAATCAGACTGTTTCTTATTCAGGTATATTCAATACATTACTAAGATGTGGAGTGTGCTATTTTAAGGGCTAATTTCAAGCACTGCATGCACAATGCCTTCTCATCTGAACAGTCACTCTCTCCTGGACGAGACAGATGTACCTCCTACACTACCATCCCCTTCTCCTCCCTGCAAATCATATAGATAAATAAACACTACAAGAGCAAAAAGTGAAGGGCTGTACACTTGGTACACTGATTTTCACAAACACAGTCCCCTCTCCCACTTCACTAGTTCATTCCCTGCCCTTTGGCAATAAAATTACTTATGTGACAGTAGCATCTTGACAAGGAGAAAACATTCACAGACTGCACAGGCTGCAACAAGTCCACAGTGTCTTGTTTTCTTCGTTATAGGGCCAAGAATCATAGATTTATTTTTCTGCCCCAAGGAGCAACTCTGCATCCCAGTACAAATTCTCAATTGTCCCCAGTTCCCACGCCACCCACTCACAAGCTCCCAGGCTCCACCAAGGAGGCAGGAGACACCTTGCCCAACCTCTGAGCAGCAACACAGGTTATGGGGAACAGCAGGTGCTCTCTGGTCCTCATCATTTACTTAATTTAGTAAGTTCTTAGATTGTGTCAATTGGGCAATAGATCCCAGATGGATCATTTGAGTCTAGGACAGGTTGCACTCTGCATCAGCCTGACCACAGTCAGCTGCAGTGAAAACAGCCTCATCCGAGAAGACTGTGAAAAGTAGAGCAATGGCTACATCTCTCTGGACCATGTACATGCCAGGTTCTCGTAAGCAATGCAATTAAAAGCTCCCAGACACCAACAGCTGCCTAAAAAAATATGTGGCTGCGATGATAAATATGTTAAAGACCATAACATTTAGGTGAGACATACAAGGTACAGGAGACAGACAGCTATGTTCTTGCTTTCAGAGTTGCTACAGTGCCATCAAGGACATCAGCTACTGTAAAAGCAGTAACTCCACAGACACACTCAAGACTATACTTGTGCTACTTGCTAATAGCAGTTTTCCCCATGGCACAACTGGACTATGCAGATAGTTTCTATGAAAACAGCAGCAGTGCCAGTTTCTGCCAAGCCCATGCTAATTACAAGTGATTCCAGCTCAAATGCTCTTAAGTCAGAAAGTGTTTAGGTGACATGAAACCAAAATCTCACATTTGTCTCACCAGCTCTCTAGTAGTGAAGTAACCTACAATCAACTATAAAGACCTGTCCATGTCTCTTTTCTTTATTCCTCCTTGGAAAAACTTTCATATAAATTCTAATTTTATGCCAGCAAAAATACATAACTTTTTTGATCCACGCCAGTGCCCTCAGCTTGTTGGTGTAATTGAACTGTCAAAGCAACACAAAGGATATGGCCACTGATATTCCATTAAAGTCAACAGATCCTCCAAGGCTTAGTGGCTCCTCAGGTGCTACGTTGAAAGTGTCAATGTCTCTTCATGTATCACATTTACCTGAAACACTCAAGGCACCTTAAAAATAATTCAATCAGTTTCACAGAGTCTGTGGGAACAAAAAGGGCAAGTGGTGAAAGATCATTTCAGATAGCCAAGTCAAATTTGGAAGGAACAAGGAAGCAAACAGACTGAGCTGTAAATTTACAACATGGCAAATCTCCTCTTGAATAGGCTCAATCAGTTAAGGTCACTTTAATTAAGGTGGGGATACACAAATTTTATAGATTTCCATGAAAT